AGGCCCTGGGTTCGATTCCTCAGCACCACATAAGCAAAAAGAAAAAAGCCGGAAGTGGCGCTGTGGCTCAAGTGGTAGAGTGCTAGCCTAGCGCTGAAGAGCTGAGGTACAGCGCCCAGGCCCAGAGTTCAGGCCCCACGACCGGACCCAAAAAAAAAAAAAAAAAAGAATTCAAGGCCTTCCTGGGTGGCATGGCAAAACTCTGTCTCTGTAAACAAAACCAACCTCCCAACCTCAAAAGAATCATAATTCAGCATGGTGCTGGTGGCTCCTATCTGTAATCCTAGCTACTCAGAAGGCTGAGATCTGAGGATCATGGTTCCAAGCCAGCTGGGGCAGGAAAGTTTGTAAGGGTTCTACTGTTTGAACTCAGGGCCTTGCACTTGGCTTAGCTTGTTTGCTCACAGCTGGCACTCTACTATTTGAGCCACACCCCTAGCCTTGCTTTCTGCTGGTTATTTTGGAGCTGGAGACTTGTGGACTTTTCTGCCCAAACCACGATTATTTGGATTTCACCTTCTGAGTAGGTAGGATTCCGGACTGAGTCACAGGCATTTGGGTGGCTAAACCTTTTTTTTTTAAAAACTAAGTAGATTTAGATACTCAAAAAACAAAAACAACAACAACAAAAACCCATGAATTTTCAATTCTATAAATTCAGTTAAATATCCAAGTTGGTCTTTCTGCCTGACAGAAATAGTGACTTCGGGATACTTGAATTCTTTGTGTTTTTTTGTTTTGTTTTGTTTTGTTTTGTTTTTGGTGTCCGGTCCCATGTGGGGCCTGAACTCTGGGCCTGGGCGCTGTCCCTCAGCTCTTCAGCTCACGGCTAGCACTCTACCACTTGAGCCACAGCGCCACTTCCGGCTTTTTTTTCATTTTGCTTATGTGGTGCTGAGGAATCTAACCCAGGGCCTCAGGCATGCAAGGCAAGCGCTCTACCACTGAGCCACCTTCCCAGCCCTGGGATACTTGAATTCTGAACCCAGTTTCCAGTCAATTATCAGAGAGTGAAGGTTAAAGTCACTTTTTTCAATCTGGAAGAATGTTTACAAACATGTATCTCCAAACTAAGTGACAAAATAATTCTCTCAAAAGTACTTTAAGACCCTTAATTTGTTAACTCTTTCTCAAACTGTTTTCAAAGAAACTATTCAGACAATTCTGATCACATTCCACTAGAATTCTGATTACATTCCACTTGTACTCAGAAGGCTGGCTTTCAAGTGAACTAATTCTGCACTAAAGTATCAAAGTATTATAAATGATGATTCACAATGGAAACATTGAGGAATATAACCAAACTACAACCACCTAGTGATAAACAGGAACCATACATAAAAGTTATTCGAAATGTTTCAGTATTAGAAAATATGAATTTTTTTTTGGGGGGGGGGCATCCGGTCATGGGGCATGAACTCTGGGCCTGGGCGCTGTCCCTCAGCTCTTCAGCTCAAGGCTAGCACTCTACCACTTGAGCCATAGCGCCACTTCCAGCTTTTTTTTTTTGCTTATGTGGTGCTGAGGAATCGAACCCAAGGCCTCGAGCATGCAAGGCAAGCGCTCTACCACTGAGCCACCTTCCCAGCCCCATAGAAAATATGTAATTTTTATCAGTAACCAAATGACTTTGCAGATTAACTTTTGTTCCTCTGGTGTTACTGCATAGGAAAGAAGTCAGAAGATATACACACACCAAAAAGAAAACTACAAAAATGGATAGACACCAAGTATCTGGACATTTTCTAAAGGTGGTTAAGTATTGAGAAAGTACCTTCCACATACACATAAATTATGATCATTACTTACTGTAGTACTGCATATTGATCTCAGGGCCTTAACTGCTCTACCACTTGGGTGACATCCCCAGCCCTTTGACTTTCAGATTGTTTTTCAGATAGTCTCTTCCACCTTTGCCTGCAAGCCTTTGGACTGCAAGCCTCCTATCTCTGCCTCCCAGGTAGCTGTGATTACAGGTGTGCACCACTATGCCTGGCTTGTTTTGGGGATAAGTTCACACAACTTTGTCCATAGCATAAGCCTTTTGTCTGTACTTCTAGGCTAAGATTACAGGCCTAGTCTACCATGCCATTTAGCTTAATTTTTATATTTTATTAAGTCACCTTTTTTTTTTGCCAGTCTTGGGACTTGGGCACTGTTGTCCCTGAGCTTCTTTTGCTCAAGGCTAGCACTTTATACCACCTGGGCCACAGTGCCACTTCCTGCCTTTTCTGTTTATGTGGTACTCAAGAATGGAACCAAAGCCCAGTGCCAGTGGCTCACACCTGTAATCCTAGCTACTCAGGAGGCTGACAGCTTAAGATTGCGGTTCAAAGCCAGCCTGGGCAAGAAAAGTTCGTGAGACTCATCTCCAATAAACCACTCAGAAAACCGGAAGTATTGCTGTGGCTCAAGTGGTAGAGTGCTAGCCTTGAGCTGAAGAGCTGAGGGAGAGCGCACAGGCCCAGAGTTCAAGCCCTGTGACTGACCAAAAAAAAAAAAAAAAAGAATGGAACCCAGGGCTTCAGCATGTTAGGCAAGCCCTTTACCACTAAGCCACATTCCCAGTCCCTACTCATCTTAACTTCTGGCGAATAAAGCAGTTCAAGAGCAGAAACAAATTTGGTTTTATGCACATGTTATGGAAATACTAATTTCAAGAAACTAATGTACTGTATTTCTTTTTATTATTTTGGGATTTTTGAGACAGGTTCTTGCTGTGGTCCCGGCCAGGCTTGGGCACGCCGTATAACACGGCAAACACTGCAGCTCTCAATCCTCTTGCCTCTTTCTCTGCATGCTGTGATTAGTCAGTCACTTTTGCTACAGAGCAAGCTGGGACCTCTAACAGCAAACCCTTCCTCATATCTGCTGGTACAGGAAATGGGAGACCTAGACACACAAGGCCAACTGCTAGGTGAGTACATCCTCTGTGATGTCCTTATCAGCTACCAGCAGACTGAGGAACTGGGGCAGTGCTGATACTCCTACCAGCCTTAGGAGACTTCTATTGTTTGAGGTGGTACTGAAGTTTAAACTCAGGGTTTCTCACTTGCTAGCCAAATTCCATAACCACTGGAGTCCATGCCTCTAGCACTTTCATGCTTTAGTCATTTTTTAGGTAACATCTCAGGGTTCTTGCCCTGGGCTGGCTTTGGATCATGGTCCTCCTACCTAACCCATCTGTGCAACTGATAGTAATTCATCATACCTAACTTATCTGTTGAGAAAGGGATCTTAAAGGGGTCTTAAACTGTGATCCTCCAGATCTCTGCCTCTGAGTAGCTGGGATTAAAGACATGTTCCATCATGCCTGCCTTTATACCTCACCCCTTCAACCTTTTGTAAGACTGGGGTTTAAACTCAAGTATCATGATTGCTAGGCAGGTTCTAGGACTGATGCAAAAATGAAAAAGAACAATAACTAGAGGGAAGTTCGGAAAGTAGGAGTAAATGCTCAGAAACACAGATGGACACTTGGTGTTGCTGTAACATCTATAGCATTTGTACTTTGTACCAGTTGTACCTTTACCATAGAGAATGCAAAAAGTGTTTATTGCCCTAAAACTCACCTAATGCCCTGTACCTACCTTGTGCTGGCTTAGTCATTCAGGGTTGGGGAACAGGTCAGTTTTGTCTGGACATGTGGTAATCAAACAAGGCACAGCTGTAGTTAAGGAAAGGTCATTTAAGTTAAAGTGCATCAGCTACCAGTTTTAAAGGACTGGTAAACTCATGCAGTTCAGTATTGTAGATGGGACAGCCAGAACACAGAGAAACTTCTATGTACTTCCCAGTAAATACAGAGCCTATAATTATACTTCTCCAAAGTTTGCTGAGGCTACACTAATACTAAATGGAGCTGGGGTGCTGGTGGCTCATGCCTGTAATCTTAAGTTACTCAGGAAGCTGAGATGTAAGGAGTGTAGGGCAGGAAAATCTGTAGACTCTTATTCTACAATGAACCACCAGAAAACCCAAAATAGACCGGTGGCTCAAAGTGACAGAGAGCTAGCCTTGAGCCAAAGAGCTTATGGACAGCTCCCAGGCTTGGAGTTAAAGCCCTATGACCAACAAAATAAACAAACTGAAAGGACAAGATCAAGAAAAGGTATCAAGTGGGCTGGGAATATGGTTTAGTACTTGCTTAGCATGCATGAAGCCCTGGGTTCCATTCCTCAGCACCACCTAACAGAAATGCCAGAAGTGGTGCTGTGGCTCAAGTGGTAGAGCTGCCAGCCTTGAGCAAAAGAAGCTCAGGGACAGTGCCCAGACCCTGAGCCAAAGCCACAGGACTGGCAAAAAGAAAGTTTCTACCTTACAGGTCCACAAAGAACAGACAAGGAAGTAGAGGTGTGGCTCAAGTGGTAAAGCACCAGCCTTGAGGGAGAAAGCTAAGGGATAACACCTAGACCCTGAGTTTAACCCCAGTACTGGCACAAACCAACCAACCAAAAAGGCCAGACAAAAGTTTAAAAGCAACAGTAAGAGAATCCAAGCTTCCTTTTCACTAAAGGTTTTTAGAACCACTGTATCATAAAGGTACTACCTAACCAGGTAGATTCTCTATCAAAACAAAGGTTGCTCACGCCTGTAATCCTAGCTACTAAAGAGGCTGCGATCTGAGGATCAAGGTTCAAAGCCAGCCTGGGCAAGAAAGCTCATGAGACACTTATCTCCAATTAAATACCAGAAAACCAGAAGTGGCACTGTAGTTCAAGTGGTAGAGTGCTAGCCTTGAGCTAAAGAGCTAAGGGACAGAGTTTGAGGCCTGCCTAGACAACACAATAAGAAATTTAAAAATATTCAAAGTATTTGGGTCAAACTTAACCATACGGCTGGTAATGAGGCTTAGTGGCAGAATGCTTGCCTAGTATGTATGAAGCCCTGAGTTTGATTCCTCAGTACCACATAAACAGAAAAGGCTGGAAGGGGTGCAGTGGCTCAAGTTAGTAGAATGCTAGTCTTGAGCAAAAGCAGCTCAGGGACAAAAGAAGTAAAATAAGCACAAGGACTTGCAAAAACTTAATCATAGGCTTGGATCATTTTAAAATTATTTAAAGGTTGCTTACTCTTCAAGCTCTTTTTTTTTTGTTGGTCGTAGGCCTGAACTCCCGGCCTAGACCCTGCTCCTCAGCTCTTCAGCTCAAGGCTAGCACTCTACCACTTGAGCCATAATACCACTTCCAGCTTTTTCTGCTTATGTGGTGCTAAGGAATAGAAACCAGGGCCTCATGCATGCAAGGCAAGCACTCTACCACTGAGCCACCTTCCCAGTCCCGGTTGCTTACTCTTTACATGTCTTTTTGTTTCTTAGACAGGTCTCACTGTGTAGCCCAAGCTAATCTTTTTTTTTTTTTTGGTCTGGTCGTGGGGCCTGAACTCTGGGTCTGGGTGCTATCCCTCAGCTCTTCAGCTCAAGGCTAGCGCTCTACCACTTGAGCCACAGAGCCACTTCCAGCTTTTTTCTTATGTGTTGCTGAGGAATCGAACCCAGGGCCTCATGCATGCAAGGCAAGCGCTGTACCACTGAGCCACCTTCCCAGCCCCCAAGCTAATCTTGAACTCTTCTTTTTTTTTTTTTGGTCAGTCATGGGGCTTGAACTCTGGGCTTGGGCACTGTCCCTCAGCTCTTCAGCTCAAGGCTAGCGCTCTACCACTTGAGCCACAGTGTCACTTCTGGCTTTTCCTGTTTATATGGTGCTGAGGAATTAAACCCCAGGCCTCATGCATGCGAGGCAAGCACTCTACCACTGAGCCACCTTCCCAGCCCAGTTTTGAACTGTTGAACCTTGTGTCCCAGTCTCCCAAGTGCTGAGATCACAGATGTATGCCACCGTACCTAGCTTCCAATCACGTAAGTATGCTACTACACTCACCGAAGCCAAGCATGGCACCTTATCAAGGTTAAAGAACTCATTGAAGTCAAATTCTCCCGGGGCCTGCTCAGGCAGGACGGCGTCCCGTGGTACTTCCTGATCAGTAGTGGGCTCCTGGGCCAAGATGACCTCCACCTCGTCCTCTTCAGCCACTCCTCCATTGCACTCGACTATGCCTAGAAGCAAAACCAGGATAGAGATGGTCTGATGAAGCGAACCACTCCAGTATTTCTCTGTAGCTTTGACCAGCAGGACACATACAGAAAAGCCACAGATGACTTTCAAACAAACTACTGTGCAGGCACTGCACTGTCAACAGAACACTAAAGCATTTACTGTTTTCTTTCTAGGAGCTAGAAGAGAGGAAAAAAAAAAAAGCCTTAGCCAGGCGCTGGTAGCTCACGCCTGTAATCCTAGCTACTCAGGAGGCTGAGATCTGAGGATCGCGGTTCAAAGCCAGCCCGGGCAGGAAAGTCCGTGAAACTCTTATCTCCAATAAACCACCAGAAAACCGGAAGTGGCGCTGTAGTGGTAGAGCGCTTGCCTTGAGCTGAAGAGCTAAGGGACAGCATTCAGATCCAGAGTTTAAGCCCCACAACCAAGAAAAAAAGAACAAAACACTTTAAAAACTATGGAAAATACATCGTAGGACAAGCATGAGGAATGTTCTATAGGGTTTGGTGACATAATTTGGCATTTGAGCCAGGCGCCGGTGGCTCACGCCTGTAATCCTAGCTACTCAGGAGGCTGAGATACGAGGATCAGGGTTCAAAGCTAGCCCAGGCAGAAAAGTCCTTGAGACTGTTATCTCCAAGAAACTAATAGAAAACCCGAAGTGGTGCTGTGGCTCAAGCGGTAGAGCGCTTGCCTTGAGCTGAATAGTGCAGGGACAGTGCCCAAGCCCAGAGTTCAAGCCCCATGACCGACCAAAAAAAAAAAATTGGCACTTGATGGTACACGGTAGATAGACATATGTACTACCCTGTGGCCTATCTGTATGTATGGATAGTTTTGTATGGCCTGTGAATGACTTTATAAATACCTAAATGCCTCTCTGCAAAAAGGCTTTCTACCCCAGCAATAGGAAAAGGACTTTGGTCCCCTTTTAAGTACCTGAAGTACTTATGGACTGTGTATAGTATGTTCTTTTTCTAATAGGAAATCCTTTTCTCCCCCTGGTCCTGGGGTTTGAACTCAGGACCTGGACTCTGTGCTTCAGTTTTCTTTGTTTTTTTTTTGTCAGTTGTGGGGCTTGAACTCTGGGCCTGGGCGCTGTCCCTCAGCTCTTCAGCTCAAGGCGAAGCACTCTACCACTTGAGCTACAGCGCCATTTCCGCTTTTCTGGTGGTTATTGGAGATAGGAGTCTCACGGTCTCTCCTGCCCGGGCTGGCTTTGAACCGAGATCCTCAGATCTCAGCCTCCTGAGTAGCTAGGATTACAGGCGTGAGCCACCAGCGCCCGGCAGAAGGAACATTCTTTAAAACAATAAAAGCTTGGGG